TTATATTAATAACAGATGCCCTACTTTTAGTCAAATTTTTTAAAGCCACTATTTTGCATGTAAATTCCCGTTTGAAAAAAATGCCCGGTATCCGTTAACGACTATTTAATTAGTTAAATCCATTAAGTAAAAAATTACTTAAATATTCCGAATTATTCAAGGCAAATAAAATATATTTTTTGTTATGTACATTTTTTTTTTTTTTTTGGCTATATATGAACAATTTTTAAATAAATAATAATAATTACTGAAATTTGGATCAGGCCGCCGGTTTAATAAAATATTATGTTAGCTTAGGCCCTGCGCACACCAAAAGAGTAAAACTGTGTTAGGCTGCTTTATTCATATATATGTGCGGTGGACCTTATTCTAAACATAAATCGAGAACCGACAACCGGTCCTTCGTTACCTACTTTACTGTATTTAACATTTACAACTTTATATTTGAATTTACATGCTGACCAACAATAAAACATATACTTAGTAACTAAAACATAGGATGGGAGGAGTCTAAAGCTAAAATATTACCATTCACTGTTTTAAGGGGGGGGGGGGTACGGTTAATTCGTGCAAAAAACGGCAAATTTTTGTGAATTTTTTTTGACGACACAGTTAAAATCTGTTTATTAAAACTAATGGTACATTAAAGTATAACATTCGAAGAATATTGTGTAATATTTTCATGTAGAAATATTAAAAAATACGGCAATGGCGGCAATTATTCGGAAGCGTCTCGGAAAAAAGTAGAATTGCGGTGCCCCTCATAACTCGATGCTGGATCATCCGAAATTAAAAAAATCAAGTTCTTTCGTTAGTTAATTGCTTTCCCTAGGTAACGCTGGGAGGGTTTTTTGAAATTTCAATTTTTCACTTTTTGGGAACACTTTGAAGGGAAAAACGCGATTTTTGCGAAAAAAATCGGCTAATTTGTTATTGTAAAATAAAAAATATTAACAAATTTGAAAAAAACTCTCCAGCGTTACCTCGTTAGTTATGTACTGAAATAGTGTTCAAAATTTCAAAAGGATCGGTGTAGTAGTTTTGAAGTTATGGTGGTCACCGACTTTGAAAACGTGAGTTGTGGGAAAAACGCTTTAAAGTTAACGATAGCGCGCTCGGGCCGGGCAGCTATAAAATTCCGACAACTCATAACGTCGTCAATTTTGTTCCGATCGACTTGAAATTTTGACACAATATTCTTGAGATATTATGCATTCGGTTAACAAAAAAAAAAAAAAATTAAAATTTTAATACCCTACTCCCCCCCTTAATAACATGTCAGGTGTGTAGTCTGTAGGTACATACGTAAGTATTTTATACTAAATTTATATTCGATAACCGCATTTATATTATAGTAAAATAAAATAGTTAGATTGTACTACTTTATACTAGGTTATGCTAAAGTCAAACCAGTTAAATATATAATAATATCTAGTACTATTTTATTCCGAGTTTTTATTAAACACAAATTGTGTACATACATTATTTGTACTTAAGTAATAGCAAAATCAATAAAATATGTGAAACATGTTTAATAATAATAATATTAATAATAAAGGTGAAATTGCGACCGATATGCTAATAAATTTAACCGTGATGCAAATCTGTGAACGAGATTGTGTTACTTTTTATTTTTATAAAAGCAAAACGTGTACTACAATCTGCCTAGGAACATTATTTTCTACTACTAAACACTTGTTCCCTATTAAAGCGTTTATCTTAAAGGAAGTTTGTCTTTCGCCGATGTATTACTTACCAGTGTCCACTGATTTTGTTTGTACTTATCTAGTTACTGATTCAGATTTAAAAGTTAGCAATGCTATCATCATCAGCGATCATGATTGACTGAGGCCGAAATACGGGCAAACAACCTCATTTGTGTATGTAAAAACACAATGTGATAACACTCAACAGTTGCATGAAAGTCATTCAGAGGTGTGCGTTTCATTAGACTCAAGGAGCGAAAACCAAAAAAATCATATCATGTCCTACAAAACATACTTTCCCTCAGCTGATACATAAATGATATGTCACCAACATAAGAAGTCAAGGCAAACTTTTCGCAGATGATACGCAAGCAATAAGCCGCAAAATGATAATTCGACGCCAGATTAACCGGTCTTCTTAATAGCTCAACAACTGGAAAATGTCACTAAATACATTAAAAAAAAAAAAGTAGCAGTCCAATTCGGGGACAGACTATTGGTAAACATAAAAAGTGTTTCACGTCATAACCAATAAATAAAATAGAGCAACTCGGCCATAATTTAAAAGAAAATTTTGACAGAACACTTAAATTCAACCGATACATCAAAGACATAAGTACAAAAGCCCAAAAAACCGAGCGGCCGACTACCAACTCGAGCCAAAATTTAGGTACACAGAATATCAATTACCTCAGCTACCCCTACGCAGGTTAGGTTCATTGTAAAATGTAATACAATTTTTTTTTTTTTTTATCAACAATTCGATTTATTTCATAACTGTGTATTTAGTTACACAAACAGTAGTCAGTACATCGTACTAGGTACCTTAACCATACGTTTATCTACTAATAGTAACCATTTTCAGTTTAGTTTTTCTAGGAATGCAAACGTCTACCAATTCTACCATTATTATATTTTATATACACTGTTTTTATTTAGGGAGTAAACCCAAATTTTCCTAAATGCAATGAAAACCTATTTAGACAAAACTTAAAAACCTCTACTACATTATGCAGAAGTATGTGCCTATATTACTATGTTGATAAAAAAAACGTCGCTTATAATAATTTTTTATTGAGACTAACAAATGAAATACCCTTAAAGGTCAGTAAATCGATTCAAACACGACTCGAGTATGATATTAAAATATAACGAAAACCTTGACCGACATTTAACGAGTAGATCTGATAATATGTTCAGCGGCGGTGCCAGAGATTGTAACTGGCAGGGAAAAGTCAGTCAAACATTTATCTAAATATAAATTGAAATATAAAAGCACAACTATTTGGTGTTTATAATACTACTCTTTACCAGAAGTACAAACTTGACTGCATTTTGATGCAATTGGTGGTAATTCGCGATTTTCTTTCAAGTTCGATCGAAATATAGAATAAGGATAGGTACTTAAAATATGTTTCACTCTCTTATCTCTATGGTCATTTCTTCCATAGACATACCTACACAAGACCAGAAATGTCATTAATACGATTTAAGAATATAATATTATGTTCTCTATCGTTTTTTCATTTCACTTCTTACCTAGGTTTTTCACAAATATTAAAGGAGCGGCGCCGAGATACAAACAAAACGTTTTTCTAACCATCGGACCATTTTCCACCTTGGATTTTTTTTCTTAGTACAATTACCTTATTTACCCAACGATAAATTATTATGCTATGTACAATATAGGTTACTTAATAATAACGTATATTGAATATACATTACTATAGTGTTTACTATGTACTATTGACTAATGAGACACTGGCAAAATAGAGGTGTCAATGTCTAACTTGCCACCTCCAAACAGCACCTCTGCGAGTTGATAACTTACAATAAACACTACCTACTCTATGTAGGTAGGCTAAAACTAATAACATATGCACTACAGTCTACAGCAAATATTGTGTCGTACCTTTACTGTGAAATAAACCGACCTTTATGAAATGGTGAATGATATTATACGTTTAATAGTTAAAATTACCGGCTCACCGATTTACTGAAACGGGGCGTACAGTACAAAAACTTAACGCCAGCCCAAGATAATATTATTAATACCTTCACCCACACCGGCCACACGGCGTTTGTTAACTGCTAGCCAATGAAGCATATACCTAATCTAGAAGGCAGAAATACGCCTGACAAATTGTACACGGTTGATAAAATATATAATTCCACTACACAAGTTGTGTAACACAACACTGTAACTTTTCCCCCTCTCTCTCAAATGGCAACATGTTTTTGTTGACTATAAATACTTGTTTAGTCGAAATAAGTGCGTGAATATGTAGAATATAATGAATATTCAATAAACAAAACATATTATTACCTACACTAGTTATCAAAAATCACAAAACGTGTTTTGAATATAAATTATCGTTGTATGTACTAGTAAATAAGTTAATATGTAAAACACATTTCACTGTTCGATGATTAACATAATTGTAGATATTAAATTATATATTATATTTCATGTCTCTTAAAGTAGGATACCTACCCAATGTAATAACAAAAATAATATATCTCTCGGCATCCTTAACCGTATTACATTTTGAATTACCCAATTTTCGAAATTTACAGCTAGTATTATTAAATAAAACCAAGTGTAGTACCTATGTACTAGGTAATTAATCTGGTAATTAACGATTATGACTTTATGAGACATTACACGTTTTCGTCTAATAGCAAGGGCAAGAAGTCGATAAATTAATTTGTGGTGTACTAATAAAATTATAAAAGAGTTGGTCGAATACAGAATAATAATCATTACCTATTATACTCAAATCTCAATTATGTATTATACTATTATCATGACCGCAAATCGCCTAATGATCTAGCCATCTAAGGGTTTCTCTCCACATAACTCCATAAAATTGTTTTAAAAAATGCCTTAGAATACGTATGTCGGCTAGACTGCTACATTTTCGTGGGATTTGAAAGAGTTTGAGATTCTGCTGACCTTATCTCTAACTACCTATCATAACAAGTACAAACACACGAAAACATTTTATTCCATCTCGAATCAGCTATAACCAAATGATGACGTTAATACTCGATACTATTTGAGTTCGGCCAAGATTTAGTATTTGGTTAAAACAATAATAAATCATATTTTAATAAAGAACACAATATTTATTCATATTATTGTAATAATAATATGCCTATACAAGTATATATATATAAATTAATCGAATAGGAAAAATATAATTTTTTTTAAATATTATTAGTGAAAAATAATACATCAAATAATATGTAAACTACGATTACGTAGGTTAAAATAATAATATAAAATGTTTAAATATATATATTTACGAACTACGATGGCAAATATAGAGTATGTAATAATATTAAAATACTAAAAAAAAAAAAAAAAATAGTTTTAAACACCGATAGTGTTTGGTCGGTACAAAACGAGGTTAATTTCACAGTAGTTTAACCAAAAATACATTGTTATAGTTTTTCACACAAATTGTTACAAACAACAAACTGTGCCGTTGTTATTCAATAATCAATCGTCATCGACCAATGGTCATTACATCATAAAGCTATTAAGTACCTGCATATATTTACTTAAAAATTCAGATTACAAAACGAATGTGAACGTCGTTTTAAAATGTTAACACCTTAATCTATTGGGACTGTCGAAACGAGTAGACAACAAAAGTAAAAAATCGATACCTACTGGAATAAAGCTAAACACTTACTTGGACGACTAGCCGTTCACTTATCAGATCATCGTACGGTTATTGGGAAGACAATATATCGTTAACAGTCTATTGAGCGGAATGTAAAAAAGGAAAGAAAAAAAACGTTTTTGGCACTAAATGATTCACATTGAACCGATCGGGATTCGGAATTGCATATTAGAACAGAAAGAAGTCGTGAAAAAAAATTGTCACAAGAGTTCAGGTATTATTAGAGAATTTTTTATCTATTTTTCGCAGGTGTTCAACACACAATTTAGAACACACTAAAATCAGGGAACTCTGAAACCATTGACTTATGTAGGTGTTCGATTAGTGCCCCACGCACAGTAATTACTAGTGTGTGAAATACAACTGCTCGCTAACAACTTAAAACTGAATTAAAAGTATTAGTAGGATATTTATTGCGTTTCATACCTTTTGTCCTGTCTTCTGTGATTTATAGTTGTCTATTGATCATTTTTATTTTGTTTTCGTGTGTGTTGTTATTGCTAATTCTAATCCTAAGAAAACATTTCTACAAAAATCTTAAATCACTAGAACAAACACAATTTTCACATTACATGCTTAACATCATAGAGTATTGTTTTATGGTTTCATGAAAGTTATTGATTAACGATGCACTCGTTTAACGCAATTTGTCGGCATTTGCAAATAGCAAAAAAAAAAAATATTAAACAAAAAACAAAAAAAAATAAAAACAATTACAATAGGATTAGTACAAACGATTAGAAAAAATAAAAGGATTTTAACCGTCATTTTTTTTTTTTTTTTTTTACAACGATTTTAGCCTGAAATAAATAAAGTGAGGTCACTCGGTTCATCATTTCTTTTTGTTTTTGCCTAAAGTCAGCGTGTGATGGCCCGTGTTCATGTACTGTTGTTTTCTTTTGTTGAACTCCATCAGCTCGTCATCATACTTTCGACGTTGATCTTCCAATTTCTTTTTTTGTTCGTCTTGGTCCCGTTTCAATTTGTCAAATTTGGCGTGCAACTAAACAAAAAACAACAAGTGAGTTAATTCAAGCTCGTTATAGCCGAGACAAGATTAGCACAATGCCGATGTTGTGTAAAACTCTTAATTATATCCTAGAGTCCAGAAGTAGCTAGAATAAATATTGGTATTTTGTTTTGTACATTTTTTTTTGTCTTGAAAATAATTTTAAGAAATTAGTATTGTTTTTATCGGGATGTAAAAATTACATAATTGATATTGATTACGCAAAGATATTATTTACAACAAAAGATGGTAGAACAATAGGCAAAAAATTATTCTATTGAATTAAATACACAGTTAATTAGAGCATAAAGAAAGAACAATAGATTTTCTCAATATCAATAATTATCAACTCCTACACAGCATTTATTAGATGCTGATAAACTTTATTACTTAATGAAATTAATTATGCTCATCCTAATTATACAATTATATGTATATTAAAAATAAAAGTAAAACGTCACATGTATAATACATGCACAGAAATCAAACTTCTATTTGGACAAATTTAAATAACAAACAAAAAAATTATTTAAATATATATTTATTTGTATATTTAATTTTGACTATCAACAATTTTTTTATTTGAATGCATGTATAAATAATAAAATCAAACACATTTGTATTTAAGATAACAAGTTATTTGATACAGTCAAACAAAAATATATTTAAACAAAAAATTATTTGAAATTATAAATAATAAATAATTTCAAATAAAAATTACCAAGACATTTTTCAACTCTATCCCTGGCAACCTTCCTATGGTTTATTTATAAAGAAAAAAAAACACATGTTTAAGATAAATATTGATCTTATACTCAGATTCAGTAATGGTATTTGTAACCATAGAACTAATTTGTATTTATAATAGACGAAATCTTTATTATTTTTAATTAAAAAAATAATCTATTTGAAAATGTGTTATACTATATAAAAATAATTAAGGTTAGTTTGATAACTTAGTTAAAATAATTATTGAATTTTTAAAAATTATATCCAGCCAAATATTAAAAAAGATTCACCAATTTAAAAACTAATCCATTAAACATGCATATAATACTATTTTGTGTATGTTATTATTATAATAATTATTAATATTGCTACAAATTAAAAATTATAAAAAATATTTTCCTATTACAAAAATAAATGTTCTCTATATATATCGCTACTGTCTTAGAAAAAGGAACGTATTATATATATATATATATATATAATTTTATATGATTATGTAACGGTTTTGATAATGTAACATTTGTAGAATCATACAAGACTATTTGAAGTTAAAAATAGTCTATCGATTGTTTTATTAAAAAATTGCAATTGCATTTTGTAATTATTTTAAATCATTTAATCAAATAGAAAAATGCAATGATTAATGTGAAACATTTAAACTTAAATTGAGTTATACTTTGTTTAACTACTCGACTATTGAATTGTAGACAATTTTGCTTAATATGAAATAAGTTAATAGATAGTAAATCAAGTACAATTAAGTTATTTTTTACAGAAAATATTACTTATAAGTTATAACTAAAAATAACAGCAATTACTTTGGTATTTTTTAATTAAACAAATATATCTTTCTAGTAGTCGGGCAAAATGTAAAGATAATTTTTAAAAAAAATAGATAATATTTAATTTATAAATTATATTGTTTTTAACTCAATATATAAAAGATAATTACTTTATTTAAAAAGTTAAATAAAAGTTAAAATTAGTTTATTTATATTTTATTAATTAATTTATAGATAAAAAATTATTTCAGACAATTTTATATATATTTAAAATAAACTTTATAAACAATAAAGTTTGTTTTATTTATCTTGAATACTTCTTACTATCGATATTAAGTTGAAGACATTTTTTTAATTTTAGATAGGTTATTTTAAAAATGTTATCTACTATTATTGTTAAGACAATCAAACAAATAATATCAGGACAAATAATATTCTATCAAAATTACCTCTTTCTCAGCCTCTTTTAATTCAGCCTCTTTTTCTTTAACTCTTACGACAAACATTTGTCTCATCTCATCTTCACGATTCTGGAGTTCTTGTAGATGGTGACTACGTTTTGCTTCAAAAGACTCTTGAAAGCTTAATGGTTTATTTTCATTGTCTACATCACTAAATCCCATCTATAATAAAAATTAAAATGTATTGTATGAATTTTTTTAAACCAATATTTAGATAATATTACCTGTTCTAGGCGCATTTTTCGATATAATTCGTAGTGTTTTTCGTGAGTCTTTTCCCGTAAATCTTCCATGTTTGTTCTAATCAACATTTCTCGAAGTTTAACAAAATCGCAATGAGCTTCGTTTTCGACTGTTATGAACAATAAATTATTATCAATTTCAATTACTTTTTTCAAAGATAAGATAATAAACCAAAATTAAAAATGTTTTACCTTGAACCGTTCCCCATGGATATTGTCGGGCACGTACCATTTTGTTTGCCACCTTAGAAAATTCTGTGCTGCCGACGACGGCAAAAGGTATATGGGAATTCATTGATGAATTTACATCAGATACAGACTCGTCGTCAGTCGGGAATTGATAGATTTCAACACCATTTGATCGTAACTCAGTTATTATTTTTGTCTAAACCAAAAGTAAAATGAAGATTTATTTCGAACATCACCAAAATTAAGTTCTAGAAGTCCTACTTTAAATTTCTGAAGCTCAGATTTAGATATAGTGTCGGCCTTAGCAATAATTGGAATGACATTTACTTTTGTATCGAGTTTCTTCATACACACCAAATCGATGGACTTCAAACTAAAATGAAACATACGTATAATTAATGTAGAAAATATGTTTATGTTGGAAAAAATCCTATATTAATCATTAATTCACATTATCTAGTTAAACGTTTTGTACACTTTGAGCAATTATAAACAATTTTTAATACATTTATTAATGAATCTATGTAGAATTATTATTCTCATATAATTTCATATATTACCCATGTCCGGTGGGGCAGATGAAATATAGACAAGCATGAACTCGTGTATCGTGGTATGTAGACAATAAACGTTTAACTTTTAATTCTTCTTGTAAATAAAATTCAAACTGAGCATCAATATAATCTACAATAGACTTGAAGCTGTCTTCCTTATTTATTTGATCACCATAACCGACAGTTTCGACTAGGGTTAACTACAAGAATAAAATAAAATATTATTAAAAATTAATATGATCATTAAGTCATTTATTAATAAGTTCAAAAAACGGACATCAACTAAAATAAACGAATGCATTAAATGCATAATGTTTGACAAACTAATTAAAAACATAATTAATGTATACACACAGCCTGAGAATTGTTTAAATATATTTTGATAGAAACAACAATTTAAATAAAATTAACTAAGTAAAAAACTCAAACTAAAATATATTTTAATAAAATATCATTTTAAAGTTTAAAGTAATAAAATGATTTCAAAAAATGTTTTGTTTAAAAGTGTAACTATAGTAAGTAATTATAAATTAATTTAAAAACGTTGATGTATTTAAAATGATTGTACTTGAAATAATTCATTGTTTGTCATTTATTACTTAAATACAAATTTGCCAGGTCTGCAGTTATAAAAATGATACATGCGATACATATTCTTTTTAAGGAAAATGGCAAACTAGTCATGCCCTTGAATGTAAAGCTTTCTCTAGCGTTACTAACCCATTTAACAAGTTTACGACACATACAACAAATAGTTTATAATTACTTTTAGTTGAACGTTGCTTTCCTGAAGTTCGTACGTATGCGCCTTGAGCTTGACATTCGGCAAATTATGGGAAGACGGAGTGGACTCAAAGTTGGTATTGAACAACGAGTCCATGAGCGTAGATTTACCCAGACCCGTTTCACCTAAACAAAAGGTATAGCGTTGAATAAACATACAAGAACAAGTGTACAAAAAAAAAAAAAGAACACCAACTCACCAATGCAGAGTATGTTAAAAACAAATCCGTTTTGAGCCGATTTGTGTGTCAACTGATCGGGCATGCTGTCGAACCCTACGTGGCCGTTAAGCTGTAGAGTTCGCATTGTGGATGGTTTGTTGTTTTCTTCAAACTGGTCGGACATGAGTTAGATAAATAATAATTATGCTACAAGAAATTCAAATCGGTGTGAACACACGCCCAACATAATAATAACACATACCTTAGGTCGGTTATTGAGTACAGCGGCCATGGCGTGATGTCGGCGGTCTCTGGCAATCTGAATGAAAAATCACTCGTAATTAACACGTACTATTAACGGTCGTGAAATTATTATTATTATTATTATTGTTATTACAGTTCAATTATTCTAAATCGTTCTCCTATTAGAGCTGTTGTTATCGGCAGATACGGTATTGTTGGGTTGTTGTGACTCAGTTCTAATGACTGTACTAAGAGGGGAGAGGGGCGGTGGTGGCGGCGGCGGTTTATCAACAGTCTTAGCATTTTTCAACAAAAACCGGCACCGATACTAGTACAGATATTTGCCACCAGATGGCGTTGCACTTTTGACTTTTGCAGTTTTTTTTTATTTAATACTAAAAAAAAACTGCATTACAACTTACATTACATGCCAAACGCTATTTCACCTACGGTGGCTAATCCGGTTAAGGATTCACAGGGAAGAGGAAAATTCATCGACTTCTAGTGTTAAGAGGGCGTCGCACCATCCAATTTTAAAGAGTAAAGTATAGGCAATTTTTTACAAAATCTTAATTTAAAGGGGTTAAACTGTGATGTGTAATTATTAGTTCAATAACTAGGACTCTATTTTGGTAGTTAATTTTTTTTTTGGACTATGACAGCATCTTTGAAAGCGATTTAAAAATGTTTTTTCATCTCAACTTGTTTAAGCAGACTGAAAATAACTCGCTTAATTTTAGATTTAGAGTAAAAGAACACATTATAAAATTAAAAGAGAACAATATTCCGGAGGGCAAGACGGTGCGTTTAAAAAATTTTTTTTCCAAGTTACAGTCATTTAAAAATGTTTAAAATAGTCGTTATTTTAACACTTTGTATTGACATGTATACTTAGAATTATTTTAAAAAAACGCACCGTCTTGTCCTCCGAAATATTGTTTTCTTTTAATTTTATAACGGATGCTTTTACTCTAAAACCAAAATTAAGCGAGTTATTTCCAGTCTGCTTAAACATGTTTTTACCACTGAAAAGCACCGGTGCGACGCCCTCTTAATTTTTTTTTTTTAATATCTACAGCAATGATAAATTCATATCTATTTTTTTTTATAAATCAATGTATGCAAACTAACGTTTGTTATAATTTAATCTAATCCACCCACAACCCCAAAAACAAATGAAAGTGATTAATTAACTGCCTTAGTATAGACTTTAGAGTTCTAGGCTATAACTGCTTAAATATTGGCTTATAATTTTATTCAAATTTTATTGGTTACAATGCTTAAAATTATTAAATCAAAATTGACTGTAACAAAAGTTCTTAAACAAATTGTACAGCTAGTTAAGTCACTTTAGTCATTCGATATAATATGAAATATATTTTTCATGACTTCTCTATCCTAGAATTCCATCAAGGTTTATATATATGCACTTCATTTTTAACCTAATGGAGTTTTGTTTAAAAACAAATCTATGAACTCTGTCTTTAAAAAAATTGTGATGAATATTTAATTAGTAGATAGTAAGAAATGTTAGAAATTTGTAGTCAAAGGCACCAAATGAATAAAATACTGAATACAACTTTTTAAACATATTTTTGACTAACACACGTTTGGAGAATTGCCAACACTCATAAATAATTTATTATTTGTATTTCATAGGGTAAAGTACGATTAATAGTAAGAAGCAAGCGGAATGATTCATTGCAGGGATAGCTTCGGATACTGTAACATATTTTCACATTGTATGTGTCATTTTATATTATTAATCTTAATTTGCTGAACTTTTTAATTAGCAAAAACTAACAGTCTACAAAAATTATTAGAATTCTCTTGGTCAAACACTGTGATTTATGAACGTATTTATATAGTATGAATATTATGAATTGTATAATACATCTTATACAAATATACATAAGTATATTAAGAATAATTGGAACAAATCATGCTAACCTATCCTAACCAATGTAATGCTCTCTGTAAAAGAAAAATGCAAAAATTAATATCAAAGAATTTTGAAATAGCGAAAATGGGTTTAAGAGTTATTACTATTGCGAAATTACAAATATGAAAATTATCAAATGAGTATTTATTATTTAGATACGGTATACACAACTGCTAAAATAATTACTAAGATTTAAATGCTAAAATATTGCTTATAAAAAGTTACAATGTTGAATAAAAAGTTTTAATTAGTTTCGCATGAAACTTGGGCACCCTCATTGAAAAATATAATATTGTCAATTAAAATTCAATAGAATAATTATATACAATGAGATGAATTATTATATGTTAAAAAGTGAACGTTCAACAAGATATCATTTGATTACATCATAATCGAGTTGGCTCTCCAGATAGATATTTTTATTGAACAAGATTAAACAATAATTAGCCAAACGATAAACAATCGCAAAGAGCTTACAAATCAATTTGCCAATTTTTTTTATTTTTGTAGCAAACGCACAGTAGTGTGTACAGTACGAAAATAATAACAATGCATGGTGGTACAAATAAAAAATTATAATGTATAACAATAAGCAGATTGGAATATGTTGGCTTATTTATCTACATAGACGCCACGTGTTACATTTTATATTTATAATATCTTACAAGAGATCTAAACACACTCGTTTTGTTCTGCTCTCGTATAATGCGAAAAATAAGAGTAAATAGTACATTTGTGATTTTTCCTTATACGGTTTACCGTGTAATGCATGTAGTACGATAAGGCGGCGAAAATGTACGTTATGTACCGTTCTTTACTTTGTCATAAAGTAATATCAGATATACACAATACTTAAGGCTAGGGTACCTACGCGAAACATGACGAAGAACTCAGAGTATATGCAACGAGAAAAAAAATCGTACGCAACTTATGAGATAGCCAAATAACATACACAACTCACCAATACTTTTATATACACACAAATAATGTATATGAATAAAGGTATGCTTTACTCACTGATTTGTCCATAGCTGAAGTACCTCAACATATTAAACTATGTATTGATTGCAAAGCTATTTATCGAATACTGATGGCAGTCTATTTGAATTTAAATTCTTAACCGGTAAAATTAATTGCAAAATCCAAAAAAGGAACGTCAAACATGTGTCGTCTTACTATGGCATAGTTAATCTTTGACACCTACTTCGCAGATATTTCTTCAGAGTTGGCCAGAAGGTTATTGCACTAACAATAATGTGCAAAATTCAAATGACACCTAAATACACACAGCCCCAACAAATAGTGTGCACTTCTTTGTGATCTGGTAGAACTAGTAACCGGTAAGTATCTATTACCAACACTACAAATTCACATTTCTACATAAAACAAATACCATTAAAAAAAAATTAGTGTTATTGATCAAACGTTAACAACAAAGTGCCAAAAGTCACAACCATTATAATTATAATTTATTTTTTAACAAGAATCATTTCAACTTAAATACACCACAATCGCTTTGTCATTTGTGTATACTATCGCAAGAAAATTGGTTTTTTGTTTTTGTATAATCCAAAAGTGTCTCATAGTTTGTTTACTTTAGAAATCCAATATAAACCAGTGCAATAAAATAGCAGCAGGTATACGTTTATTTAAAACTGACAGTATTTGATGAAAAAGTTTTATAACCGTTGTTAAGGTCTTACTCTCAAATTGGGTAAATTCCTATGGCAAAAAAATAAAATATTCGAACTAAACAAAAACGTGAATAAAATAAAACCGAATCTATAAAAAAAAATACATATATCAAATACTTTTATCACCTAATCTAACCACTTCAATTTAATACAACTACTATTCATCTCAAAACAAATATTTTTGTTATCGATATGTATTATAATACAAAGTATGGTTTACAATATTATACTATGTGAAAATAAATCAAGGCTGAAGTTTTTTTTAATAGTTTTTTTCCAATTGCTGTTTACACACTATATGTGGCGTATACTAAGAAAGTATAATAATGTACACATAAATTTCTATTTTTTTTTCTGTACACATTCAATATATTATTATGTAAATCGTCAATATGAAAGATCAAAGATGTTTACCTTTTGCAATATTTTTGCTCTGTGAACCTAATCTGTTGATTTTATATTGTTAAATTATTTTTCTTTAAACACAATATAGGTACATACTATTAAAATGTAACACACAATAAAGTTGTTTCACTTCTCGTGTATTCAAATAAATTGTTACCAGCATACAGAAGAGACGAGATTTTTTTAAATATTTATTTAGTTATTGTTGTGTACTTACGTCTTACTCTGCTAAATATATTCGAAAACGAGAAATCGACCACTAACCAAACAAGAAAAAATCACCAAATACTACGCATACATTAATCTATATTCTTAAATTGAAATAATATTTTACTGAAGAAAGTCGTTTGACTGCGAAAAACCCAAAGAAATAATATTTAATGCATAATGCTTTACTTATGTAATGAAAAAACAAATATTGATAAAACGATAATCACCTATTTTATTTAAATTTATACCTAAAAGTAATCAATCCGTTGCTAATTATTCAAGAGCTTATTGTTACATTAAACAATTTTTAATTAGGTCGTAACCATATAAATACATAACATCAGCTTTTTTTGTAAAATTTAACGTTATAAAACAAATTTAAACTTGAGACCACGGTAATTAATGTACTTAATTAACTTCTCAATCATTATACCTATGTAATTGGTAAATCGTTTATTTTATGACACCACAGCGTGAACCTGACGGTTTGTTAGATATTAATTTAAGTAATTATCATTAAACCAGAATTTTATTTAGCAAATACAATACCAGATACCTAGTAAACCAATATGAAACTGATGTTAATTAGTAGTCTATAAAAACGATTAAATATTAAATTTAAGTAGGGTAAGTGAGGGAATAGTAAATAAATGGAGCAAAATATGTAAATGGCATTTTTTGATAATTCTACAAACATAAAAGTTGTATTTACATTGACCCATTTGTTTAGAATTACTCCACCTATGACCTAGCTCAAATGTAAACAGTTTATGAGAAAGTATTGTTTTTTCATTCGACATCAAGTCCTTTCCATGGCCGTAAGTATACTATTTGAGATGAACAATGTGCAACACAAGCAAAACACGCTTCTTGAAAATTTCAATATATTAATAAGTGATAAATATACTGATGACAACGGTAGGGTAGTTAATTTTGCCTTTGCGCAAAATTGTACACATTTTGTATTGAGCTGTGGTCAGAGGTCAACGTCAAAA